CCCCTCCCTGGCTGGGCAGCTTGTCCCAGCCCCAGTCCCAATCCCTCCCTCACTGTGGGGGCGTTGAACTGCCCACCCCGCCTCCGCCCACCACAACAGACTTACCAGCTGAAAGTAGCTGTGTCCAGCGTTGAGGACTGCTGCCTGTTTAGTCTATGGCCAAATCTCCGCATCAGCACTGAATCTTTGGATCTGAATTGGCCGAATCAAATCAGGACAGTGACTTGAATCACCGAATCGAATCACTGTCCCTATGAATCAGCCGAATCTGAAGCGCATACCTGCCGCTTCGCACAGGCCTAATGCTTAGCTATGTTATTCTGAAACCAGACAGAAGGCAGGGCAGCATAGGAGCTTAGGGTGCCTGTAGACATGTGGGATGCCTGCTCTGATGTGCTGTAATCACATCAGATTTGGAGCAGACTCATTAGCATGCTTCAGCAGGCTCCGCATCTTGTGTATTCAGCATCCCCATGCTTCAAAAACAGTGCCAGGGGCGCTTTAACTAATGCTAGTTCAACAAGCTTTAATTAAAGAACCCCCACTGCCATTTTGAAGTGCAGGACACTGAATACCCAAGATGCTGCAGGCACTTTAATTAGAGCGGCTCCCGAGGGCCACTCTAAAGCACCCTCCCTCCCATAGCCCTGGAGCATGTGTAAAGATGCCCTTAGAAACAAATTGGTTCAGAGGCATAAGCTTTTGTAGGCAACAGATACTATCTGACAAAGTAGGCTGTTGCCTATGAAACCTTAGGCCTCTCTGAACCACTAAGGTGACCCCCTACTCTGGCTTCTGTAAGACAGGTTAAAATAGAGATGCCCACAGCAGGATTTTATATTTCTTGAATATGTCAAAGGGAAAAAGAGACATTTGAAAATAACCAGAGAAACTGTCTACAAATAAATGTTGGACAATTGTGTTATGAACCAAAGCCCAAGTGGCACCTCCTGAAAAGCATCCAAGCCAGCACAGAAAAAAATTAGGATGAAGTGTGAAAACAGCTTTATGCATTGGGCAAAAACATACACTTTTATTTAAACTGTTTGTAAGAAATCACTCAATTTCCCTATGGACCCAGGCAGTTGAAACAATAATAGCTTTCACCTAAAGTATGTGATATGTCATGATGACCCAAGTAAAACAGGGCGTGTCTGCACGTGCACATTTACTGTGCAGTAATTTAGGTTACTGTACAGTAACTGAAAATTACTGTGCAGTATGGTATGGGCACGCATCTACATCTGCATGCCTGTACTGTGCAGTGACTGTGGTGACTTATGCTGACTTGGGCGTAAATTTGATACCTGCATCATGCAAGTATCAAATTTACATCCACTTAGTTACTGTACAATAACACACGTCTAGATGCCTTCATGCACAGTAACACTGCGTGTATGGACTGACTTGGGACTGGCTTTAGTTACTGTGCAGTAAATGCGCATGTAGACGCACCCATAATGTGCCAGATATGTATGAACAGAAGGGTGTCATGACTCCTGTTTTGGTGAAAGTATGTGCGTCTGTGAAGGACAGGCAGAAAGACAAGAGTAGCTGCGAAAGAAATAGGCAAAAAAAAGTCAACGGTAGTAAAAACAAAGCACTCAGATAGTGCCCCTGAGAAAAGCTAAGAGCTTTTAGGCAGATCACTGGTTTGCACTTGTAAGCAAAGATATAGATTTCAGTTGTTCAAAGTTAAGAAGACTGTTTATCTACCCTTTTTCCCTCCAAAAGAACACTGCATCATTTATATGCATCATTGACCTATAATCAAATCCCCTACAATCCTGACTTTTGTACTTGCAACCTTTGTGTACATGCAACAAAAGTACCAAGTCAGAATTTTTCAGTTGAATTTTTGTTCAAATATTCTAGTGCATTTAACCTTTTCAGTCCTTTATTTACTTTATTTGAATCTCCAGGAATTTGTAAGGCTAACAGCAGGTCAAGGTTTTTATCTGTCGTTATCAATTTATGTTCATGGAAAAAAACTCTCTCCCAAAATTGAACTTGAAAATGTGAGGTTGATTTATATACAGGGATGCAAGAAATAAATACCTGATTCTATCATTGATTTCTCCTCCATACAGGGGACCTCCATACAGGGGAGGAAAACGTTCACAAAACAACTTCCAAGACCTCAAATTTTAGCTAACTGGTTGGGTCAGTAAAGGCTAACAGTATTTATGTAATATTTTTCAACATAATCTATTTCCATAACTATTCTAGGTGGAGTTAGGGTGCTGGTAATTATTGGGGTTTACCTCTGTAGTTTGTTATAAGAATAGACCCTTAACCCAAAGTCTTGCATTTTAGTTTGCTGGGGAGTTCTATTTCTCCTTCTCAGATTGCTGAGTTAGTACATACTCAAAAATTTTGCCTTCAGCCTTGAAGGTGTGTGTGTAGGCATTTCCATTCATACAAAATGATCTAGTGTCTTCCTGAGAGGAACTGTTTTCCTGGGAGATTCAAAAGAGAGAACATGTCTGATGCAGCAGTCTTCAAGAGGTCCATAAAATACCTCTTTGGCTTGATTGCAGGATTTGAGGAATCTGAAAGCCTAAGTGCACTGATTGACAATGTGTGTGGGATTGCCCCAAAATGGTTATGCCACCAGTTCAGGATGCAGCATGTGCACAGAATAATCTTCTGTGTGGTGTGGCTCAGCATGGTGCTGCTGGCACAGTAATGGAAAGCATGGACTTCATGAAAGTAATATAACTGTAGCCCCATTTAAGGATTTTGGCCCGATAAACTTCACTGGCCTTCTATTAAGTGGCATTTAAGGTCTCAAAGCATCTTGCCTACTTCCTAATTTTACTTTCCTAATTTTGTTGCTTGGAGAAAATAATCTGTTTTAGGGTAATAACATTTCTGAAGTGCTGGGTAAATGAAAGAGAATGGATGAGGGCATGGATGAAACTAAGCCATAAGTTTTCAAGACATGGCTCAAGCCCATAATTAGCCTTTGTTATTGGGAGCAGGTTCCATATTGTTTTACCCAAGCCCAAGGCTGATAGCAGCTTCCTGTGAGCAGGGGGTTGGTGAGAATTATATCGACCATTTGTAACTGGATTCTTTTAAGAAATGGCAACTTTAAGTAAGATATTCCATACGGTCCACAGGCCAGAAACAGGAAGTGAACCATACTGACATTCATCTAAGGTATACGTAACATTTATTTGGTTTAAAAGTTTCAGAGGTAGTGCCTGCAGCACTATAAGCAAAAGCTGCTCACTGTAAAAGGCAGAAGAGCCTGGGTGCTCTCTTGGACCATCCACATAATCCTTCACATCCTTGTCAGTTCCCTAGGCCCCTAGGAGACAGCACTGGCTATACCATCCTGAGGGGTCTGCAACTGCTCTTGCCGATGTCTTTGCTTGACCAGACCTTCACCTACATCTAGTAACTGCAGACATGTGAGTCAAAGATGACAAGGTCATGAAAAATATTATTTATCCTTTTTTCTGTTTTCTGTTTCTCTGAAGAGAAGGATTCCTCCTAGTTCCATTAGGTATAAATGTGTGGATTGAAGATGTGTTTGGATCTCTCCTAGCGAAACAACACCATTAATAATTTCCTAGATGTAAACCCCGAGTCTGCCTCTTAATCAGTGAAATACCTCCTCAGCTCTCACAGGCAGGGCTAGCCCACAATTTCTTGGAGGACCCCTGTAAGAAATAGTTTCCCCCCCCCCCCCCCCCCCCCCCA